TACACCGAAAAACGTGTATCTGAAGATGATTCCAAAAGAGGAAATTGCCAAGACTTTCTTGAATTGCTCTGTTTTGACCGAGTTCTTCAAAAGACTCTGAATTTTATTATTTAGAGATGAAAAGCAATAGAAAGTACAGTATCCTTGCTAAAACTTACATAGAGCTTTTCCAGCAATGGCTTTTCAACGTAGAAAGTCGTCGTGCCGATTAGAAATTCGAAAACTCTCGCCAAGAGAAATGTGTGTTGGGTAATGAATGGAGATAACTGAAACTATGATAGTTTCATCATAGTTTGCTTAAACAAAGATTTTCAAGCTGTTTAGTAATTATTTTGAAACTAAAATTGTCGTTTACCTTACGGATTGTCAAAGAAACTTCGATGAAAATGACAAGAACAAGAATTCTTGTCCTAAAACGGAGTTGTAAGAGGCCAAAATAGATCAATGGAGCAATGAGGTAGAACTGAAGTTGCATTCTAATGGATCTAGCACTAAAAGAAGTATTTACAGATACTTAAACCTAAGTCTAATATCAGTATTATCCAAGTTAAGAAGATTAATAGTTTAAGAATCTCTTTATTTGCAGACAAGCATTCTTTTTAGCTCTTTCGCACGATTGTGGGACCTTTTATACGCGAGGCCCCCGTCTGCCATTGGCAATCTAACTTTGAGCTTAAATATCTTGGTGTTGGGCTGTCCAATTTAAAGAGTTTTTGTACCAATCAGTAGAGAAAGACTTGGCGCATCTAATGATGTCAAGAATGTTTAAATCGGACAGTCCAACACAAAGATATTTGAGCTTAAAGTTGGATTGCCAATGGCAAAGGGGCCGCGGAGCGTATCAAATGTCCGATAACCCTCTCGCAGTCAGTTTACCTGCATTTCAAGACTGATCGTCCAAAGATGTGCCAATGGAGAGAAATAATCTTTCTGAAAGTGAAGAATTTCATTATTTTATGATCTTTCCACATCTGTATATAAAGAATCCACAAAAGTCGAGCACAAAATCGAATTCGTTAAGAGAGCGGCTCGTTCATGATTGTTCATAAAGAAACGAGCGAGGAGTAAAGTGATGAGAATTGTCGCTCTAAAAGGATATTATTTAGGATATTATCTAAGGATATAATTTCTAAGTTAGGTAAAAGCATTTGACAAAATTCTGATACAAATAACAGTTACTCACAAGTATGTCGGCACAATTCTCTTCATCTTCTTCGCATAGAATTGCATTGTTGTTTCAGCGGTGATGTTCAATCCGGAAAAGTTCTTTGCCAGCAAATAACCAGATATAACAAAAAAGCTGAAAGTTCGGGTTTTAGGTCAAATTTAAATTTTGTTTACGTGTGAACAGCATGCTCACTCAAAGCATTTCCATAGTTGCTGTGAGAGAGAACGACAGCGATCGCCGAATAACCGCGAAGAAACTGTAAACTGGCTGTTTTATCTGGATCTAAGCGAAAACTGATGGATAACAAGATATTGCCAAAAAGTATCAAGATTTAGCAGGGCTTTTATTCAAGAATATGACCGAATTGTACCGTTTTCCAATTTTACATGAACAAACCTGAATTGAAGCGATTTTCCCCGCGTTTTCCCTCCCTTGTTCAGCTTTTGTTGAAGATCGAAAGATCTGATCAACAGCCATGTTGATAACTTCAAATATTGTTGAAAGAATAGCAACTAAAAGAATAATATAGCTAGTTTTCAAAAGCCAAGTACCAGCTGAGATTTGTTCAAAGAGAATGATAAGTTCTTTGTTCGTTCCACTCAGCCAGCCGCTGTTCCGGGAACAAAAGTCAGAGAAAAGTGTGAAAAACAAACCACTTGATCTGAAAGTTTTAAGAAAGAGAATTTCTGGGAATTGCTTTTCATTATTCATCATTTTTCTCTTTTCATTCCTCATCTTTCTCTTTCCGTTCCACAATTTTGTACCTCTTGCTCAAAGTTTCGCGGAACCATATCAAAAAAAGGTAACAGAGTGAAAGATTGTTTGATCTCTTTGGCTGAATTCCTGGATCATTTTTTTAGTAATTCAAAATGCATATAAAAGCCCTTTGATTCAACTTAATTTCAACAAATATTTTCATTCAACAAAACCAAAATGAAGATCTTCTCATTCCTTCTCGTTCTTGTTAGTCTTCTCGTTGTCACCGAGTGAGTCTATCCTTTATTTCTCAAGAATAGCTATAATAGCTACCGCGCCAGCAATTAAATCAATTAGTCTAATTATAAAATAAACAATTAGTATGTGTAGTACTAAGCTTGAAGCTGTGAGCACTAAGCTTTAATGTGCGCTAATTTTAGTGCATGTGGAGCTCTATGGCATTGCGGCCGAAAGAGGAGAGAGGTTGCTCCCGCTGAATTCCCATCGAATGAGTGAGGATTTTTGATTCTATAGTAGTCGTAGAAACTTAGCACTTGCTATCTTAATCAAATCCATTTTAGCTTCAGCTCAAAATTCGTGAAGCGATCCGTTGGATTCGACGAATAACAACACTTTCAAATTTTTTAAATAGCAACTTTTCGAAAGCTTCTTTTTCATTTTTTCAAATAAAATTTGTTCATTGAGTATTTAACGCTTTGAATGTTGCAAAGCAATAAAGTTTTCAGCTTTAAAAAGACAGTTTTCAGTCAAATACGAGTTCAAATTATTCATTATTTATTTCCAAAAAGACAATAAACAACAAGATTCATGAAGTTTCCAACTTGAAAAAGAGTCAGAAAAAGAAAATGTTTGGTGAGGAAAAAGTCATGGAGTTTTAATGGTAAATCTCTGAAATTCAATTGGATAAGTAAAATGTGAAGAAAATTACGTCTTCTTTTCCCGATGAGAAAACTTCTCAGGAACACTGACCAAAATGACGCACGCCATTGTGGTTGTGAAGACGCTAGTTAGGAGAAAGATTCCTAAAAGAATTATTTTAACATTATCAGAACTTTTAGGATTATCAACAATCGCGAATTTCTGCAGTTAGAACTGTTTCAAGTGCTCACCTACACTACTGGACAATGAAATATCATGTTTGAAAAACAACCGTCAATTTCGCGCGCCTGTAACTCCCTTGCCTTTACCGTCTTTCTCAGTATTAATATTACCATTGTGTAGCCCTTGAAAAGAGCTTTCAGAAAATGTATAACACTAATAGTTTAAACTCAAAGACAGGGGTTACAAACGCGCGAAAGTGCGTCGTTTCAAATATGATATTCGTCCAGCTAGGAGTGAAAAATGCCTGCTTTTGGGCATTTGTTGTGAGACCATATCGACGACATCATACTCGTCAAAGCGATGCTCAACTAAAAATTAAATAAAAGTTATTCATGAACGTTTAACAATCTAGCTAAAACTAGTCAGCACTGGTACTAGTACTGACTAGCTAAAACTGGTCAGTACCAGTACCAGTTGTGTTTCCAAAGATAATTGATTACTTTGCTCAGCTGTTCCTTTTTGACATTCTTTCTCCAACCAATGATCGATAGAAAAGTCAAGAGAAAAGAAAGGATGGTGATCACATAAATGTAGAGGCTCGACTCTCTTTTACCTTCAATGAAAAGCCTTCCTAAACCTTTGCCATGAATTTATACCTAAAAAGATGGTTTTTAAGCTTTCTTGACTGAATGTTGACTTTGCTTGAAACAATTGCAAGTACCAACCACTCCATCAACCCCACTCGCATTCAGCGGCGTCTTAGAAACATTTGTGACAAGAAATTCTCCATTTTCAAGCTAGATTTTGTTGGCTGAGACTTACCGTATTTTTCCAAATAATAGTGCACCCTAAGCTTCGCCTAAATTGCTTGAAATCTCGAAAACCGCTTATCAGAACCTATTGATGTGGGGTCTAAAAAAATATAGCTGATGATGAGATCTTGTGGGGGATTAGAGTGTTGAGCTTCCGTAAAAACGTGGAAACTCTAAAATAATTATCAATTCTGCTCGTCGCGGTGCACTATATTGGGGGAAATACGGTCTCCTAATAAAACCCACAGCTACGGGCACTTCTTCTCCGTATTTCGTGAAAAGCTCTCCTTGTTGGTCGTCACTTTCCGAATTTGTCCTAGCCTGCTCCACTTTAACCACCAAACATTATCTGATATTTGATAGTAATAAGCCTACACTACCAAAAAACTAACCATCAACTACCCAAGTCGAGCATAATCTACCGAATCTGCTTCATCAGATAGAACTTGTGATAAAAGGTTAATAAAAGGAAAACAATATGGTTTATCGGTTAAAGTTTGGGAATAAAAGCTTGAAGTTTTGGCACGTCAAGTGCACTTTCAAGACAAGTGTGAGACTCAAAAATGGAGGACTGGAGATGGAGACTGGAGATGTCCCAGTTTGAGCACTTTCTTCAAAAGAAACCCATTTTGGTGTCAATAGAAAAGTTGTAGAGAACCAAAAATTAGGCTTATAGCCAAATTTCCAAACAAAAGATACACTTAGTAGTTTCGCTTAAAATGCAAGTTTTGTGAAAATTCGTAAATTTCGCATTTCTTGAAAACCAGTTTTTGAATCGTTCTGAAAATTTGGATATAAGCTTGATTTTTGATTCTCTACAACTTTTCCATTGACACCAAAATGGGTTTCTTTTGAAGAAAGTGCTCAAACTGTCACATATGACAATAGCCCGCAGTTTTCAATTCACCAACCCAAAACTTTCTCTCTCAATGACCTCGGCATCGAAATATTAAAAAAGATTTAAGGATTTAAAGCAGGGCCACGTTTTTCTGTGCAAGATTGGCATTAAAAAGACGGAAGAATATATTTTTGCATTTTTGGTATTTACCACATCTTTCTAGTTCCTTGTTTATTTCAAAAAAACAATTTGAAAGTTGATGGATTGAGAGTGAATTGAAAACTATTTTTTCTGAATAACAAAAAAGTGAAAGATAAAGGTTGACGTGATTTTGAAGAAGAATTTTTGCAAATTTCAAGGTGAACATTTCGATAAATATTTATTGCATTTAATGACTAAAACATCCTGTTTCAATTGCAAATCAAGTTCCGAGTTGATCGCAGATTTGATTGTGTAACTGAAAGAAATGTTTCTGTGACTCTTGGCAAAAGGCTTACCAAAATGGCCAATAGTGAAGCAATAAGGATACCGGTTGAATCGGATGTCATTACGACGGCCAGCGAGAATTCTCGCACATCTGGAGCTGCCTGGAAGTCGGGGATTTAATTGGTGAATCTGCTCAGTTTCAATTTTGCTTAGTTGTTAGTTTAATTTGCAAAATTGCACCCAAAAACCTCACCATTTTGTGCACATCATTGATCGTTTTCACATAACTCGATCCACCCAGTAAACCCTCATAGAAAATCAATGCGAAAGCTATCGAAATATGGGGTAAATAGGCGTGAAGTGCCTCAAAGTAGAAGAAAATCGCATTCGCTAACTGAAAAATTGGTTTTGCTTGACGATTTTTATATAAATACCTGTAAAACTGGTAGAATGTAAACAATGATTCGAGGGAGATTCGCGATTGGAGACGATGATCGAGAGATGAACACACCGACTGAGTATAACACCTAGAAAGAACTTGTTTAGAGTGTTTCTGTTGCCAAATTGCATACTGTACACGGTGCGGTATAGATACTGTTGCAAAAGAATGATTTTTTCAAAAATCAAATGAGTTGACAGTTTTTACGGTATATTAGGTACTTGCAAAAGAATCTGCGAGTCAAAAAAGGCACCGAAAATGGCCTGGAGAAGCCGAATTTCAATTTATATTCAATTTATAAAAGACTCGTCTACCAAATTTGTTTTATTTTTCTGTAAATAGCTTCTATGAAGTCTGGGCTTCTGATCTGTCAATAATTTAGAGCAGAGTTTCATCAAAAATAATCCTTTGCTATAAGTTTAAGCCGCTGCCAAGTCGTTTTTTGGTCTATATTCCGGTCTATATTCTATTTGAAACGTCTATATTCCGCTCAGAAACGATCACTGTAGAATTCTTTTTATATCGTTAATAAGAAAAGATATTGTGGTTTCTCAAAATATTAATCAACCCAGATCATCTTTACTTACAGCCGTTGTATGAACGTTTTCATGACCCGCAGTTTCTTTTGCAAATACCTAATAGATATTTAAAATCTACGGACTTAAAATTTACTAGATTAACTAGATCAGTTTGTATAAAAATTAAAAACTTCATTCGTTTTACATAAATTGCTGATTAGTTTAAACTTTATACGTGTTTGCTGCTCCCAAAAGAATGTAACCATTTTTGTTAGCCAAGATAAGCTCGCATTTGCAATAATGGAGCTCAAAAAGCACTACTTTTATAGTAATTAACTCTAAAAACGTAATAATGCAGAAAAAGATGGAAAAGACGATTTTTTTAGAGACCCCAAACTCGAATTTAACTGTTTGTCAGCATCGTGCCGCCTGGCATTTTTTGTACTGCTTGGCTCGGGTTGTCAAATGTTATCAGTTATTAAAGTTAGGTGTTAAGTCATTAAACAAAATCCTACAATTCTTCTATTCTATGTAAAACTAGATTTTATGCCTAGATTTTATGATGTTGTTTTTCAGCTTAGTTTTATGCATTGTCTTAGAAAGCTAAAAAGATGCATTAAACGCAACACTTTAGATGCCTGTACAGCCAAGACTGAGGTTTGCATACCTGATACCATCGATATTGACTCTCTTTTGAGAGATTGAAACCATGACGACAATCGAAGAGAAGAAATTGAGTCTAAAACAAGAGCTAGTCCGAATAGCTCACAAATAAAACCCACAAATCCTTGATTGATCACATATTCTCCAACATAAACAAGCGTCAACGGGATCATATAGTGCAATAGAGGCTAAAAGGAATTGAGTTCTAAAAAAAGAGAAAATCCTACCTTTATCAAGAGAAATTTCTCCTTTATTGTCGTTTTTCTTTGCTCTTGCACGGTCAACTTTTCTTGGGAATTCGATTTTTCACCCTCAACAATGTCCATTGTTTTGATTTTACGAGAACGGAAAATTCGCAGTAAATTTGTTGGATAGTCGAGGATCAACCAGAAAGTAATGGCGTACAGAATTGGGATCACCTGGAAAAAGGTAAATAAAGGTTGTCTTTATGATTCACTAACCAAGGACATCAAAAGAACAGTCTCGGGCTTGAGATTGACGAGGTGTGGTTCAGTGAGAGCTGCGTAAAGGAATGAACCTAGAATTTGTCTTCTTGACTAAAATTTGCTTGTTTTCTTTGCCTAAAATTCCGGCCACTCCAGTTCCCGAAGCCCAAGCGACAACGGTAGGTTTTGGGAAGTGTGAAGAGAGTGAAACGAGAGTCGACTCTCCCAATCCACTACTCATCGATGTCATCGCGACTCCTGAAGAGCCAAGCTTTGCGTTATATCAGACAGTAAAGTATTAGGTTGGGGAGAATGAAATGGCGCCTTTTTCCACATATTTATGGCTTCTTTTTCTTCCCTACATATTTATGGCTATTTAGGGCTAGGGCTGTACTTGTATATTGTTTGTACCCCCTTACAGGGATGGCCAAAGTTCTGTCCTTTTTAGAATTCTCTCTAAAACCTTCCTGGTTAATTTTATTCTATAAGTGTTGATAGCCAAAAGATAGCCAATTTTTTACAGAATTTAAATCTTATTACAGGTTTCAAATAACTTCTTTAGATTTTAAGTTATCGCTATTCTATGCCCTTCAAAAAAATATCCGTGGTGGCACATATTTTTGCGCTTTTTCATGGCAAAAATTCTCTAAAAATTACAAACTTATTGAAAACTGCTGTTGTATTTCCAGTTTGGAACTGATAAACAATTTTTTTGGAATACTCCTAATCGTCTGAGTTCTAAGTTTGACAGATTTTCTTATACTGGTAATACTAACAACTGGTGCGATCACAGAGCTCACGCAAATTGTGATAACTCAAAATTTAAAAAAGCTATTTAAAAAAGGTAATAAGATTTAAATTCTGTGAAAAATTGGCTATCTTTTGGCTAGAAACACTTATAAAATAATAACAATCAGAAAGAATTTCAAAAGAACAGAACTTCCGCCGCACCTGGTATTAAGCGGAGTTGATCTGGCTTACTCTTTGCTCTTTTTGGAAACCACTAGTGCCTCAATTAACTTACAGTTTTTACTATTTAAAAGCTCTATTGATCTTCTAAAAGTAGCACGCATTTGGAAATGCTTCCGTTTTTTGGTTTTTCAGAGAACAAGAAGTTGAGGGATCAAAGGGTCTAATAATCCAATTTGAGCACTTTTAGCCAAAGAAACCTATTTTGATGTCATAAGACAAAAGATAGAGCACAAAAAGTTAAAACCAAAACCAAAACTAAAATCAAAAAATGATAAGGGAAGTTACAAAATTTCAGCTTAATTTCAGCTAAGCCGTTTTTGCCCATTTAACGAATTCTCGGTAAAACACGAATTTCTGCGCAACTATTCCTTAAAATGAAGCCAAATTTGTTCGAAAAAAGATGTAAAATAAGACAATGAAGAGCTTTTATTTGATGAAAACTGTTACTAAAGTAGCCTAGCCTTATTTCTACAGAAAAAAAATGGAAATGCCATACCAACACATGATAATAAACCTAATACGTAACTTAAACTTTAAGAACTTTTAGAACTTTAAGTAACTTTTCAACTAATACGTTGAGAAGTTACCTAAATCCTTTTAACTTACCCAAAATCGATAGCCCAAAATTTCCGGCCATAGCAACAATAAAAAGGGAGACTGCTTGAAATGACACCACCATTAACATTCGAACTCTGAAGTACAGATATAGATTTCAGATCAGATAACAAGCTTGATTCTTCACGAATAGTAAGCACAGGGTGGCCCATAATATGTGTTGCACCTTATATAAAGGCAGATCAACTCGAAAATGTGTCAGATTGCTTAAACTTTGTTATAATTTCATTTTTATAACATTTTTACATTTATATTCCAATTTTTAGCTCAATTGATCGGCTATGAGAAAAATGAAGGCCATTAGAAGCTCCGTAAATAACATTCGGACTCTGAAATGCCTACGATTATTCTTATTGAAGAATCAAGCTGGTTATCTTATCTAAAAGACTAAATTTCCTGCATTACTCACGTAAAGCTCAGCCGATCCGCAATCAGCATCGGAGCAATCAATTGAATAACCAATGAAGGCAAAATATCAACCAGCAGAACAATTCCAGTTGATTGATGTCCATCGCATTTTCTTGATTCAGATTTTGACTAGATTTTTCTAGTCAATGAGATTATGAACTCATGGTTTAAATAGTTAAAATGGTTAAAACTGTTGTAAAACCAACCGGACAAGTGCTATTCCCATCATCTTTTTTACCGCCACCTCCACCTGATCGAGAAATTATGTCTTCAGCAGCACCAAGCATCATCGAATAGGTAATATTGTTGCAAATACCGAATAGCCTAAAATTTTCCTTTGTACACTAAAAGCCTTATCAGAAACCCCACCAAAAAGCTAAATAGGTCCTCCATTTCTTTGACGTTGTTGCTTTCATTGTATCTGAAGTAATCCTTGTGAAAAGAAAAGTATGAAAAGATGAACAAGGTCCAAATTTAAAAGGAAGATTGCATTAGCTATGTTCAAGCAAAGAAAGTGTTCATTCGAATGTGTTCAGTGTTCATTCGAAGGCTGTGGATGGTGCCACTCCAGCTCGATATCCTTTTGGGGTCGAGGGTCAGTTCGGGATCCCCTTTTTGTGTCAATCCATCTCATATCCATTCAATGACCCCAGCAGAAAACGTATCCCTTCGAAAAATGATTTATTGAGAGAAAACGGTGTATAAAGATTTCCCTTCTTGACTGTGCAGCTTTGAGATCGATGATTTGTGAAAGTTCTTTGAGCAGAAGAGAGATTATACTTATAGTTAGAGTGGAAGTATCAAACTGATAATGAATCTGATATGAATTGACTTGATAGACCAATACTTAACTCCCTCTGAAGTAAGGAAGATCAAATGTGTCATGGTGTAAAGGTTAGCACAGTTGCTCACAGTAAGCGAAAGGTCGCGGGAAGGCCGCGGGACAACGGTCTGTCCTAGTTTCAACTCAATAATAGAAGAAGAAGAATTCAAGAGAAGAAGTAATGAAGATGAAGACACAAGATACTCAAAACCCTTCGAAAAATAGTTTTTTTCTGAAAGCCAAGCCTTGCCAAGCTCTCAAAGCGCTAGTCTAAACGTGGGAAGCTCTTTTTCCCCTATCTCCAACAAGCAGAGTTTATAAAAGAAAAAAAGAAAAGATAAAGCCAAAGAAAAGCGAGCCCAAAAACACCAAACCTCAACCATTTCAGCCTTTCAAAACAATTCCCAGTTGATAAATGATCCGTTTGTTTGTCTATTTGTTCACTTTATATGTTTGATGATGGGTAATTCGTACAATTGTTGAAATATCTACAAAATGATCCGCGCAAAGCTTGTTTTTCCCTTTTGGAACCACCGAACAAACAGTTTTTCTCTTTTTGTGATACTTTGTGTCAATGTTTTTGTCAAAATACCCATAGGAATCTAAAAATAGATCAATTCATAGTGAGAGATCTATTGAAAATATGAGAGATTGTTAACGACATGTGATATTTGTATTGAAAAACTGAAAAAGAGAAGGAAATGAGCGTTTTAATATATAATTTATTCACAATAGGATTATTTGATGAGTCAGGATCATCAACTTTTCAAAAACTTGCCTCCAACATATTGCAAATTTGATTGTGTAACTAAAAATAGAAATTGGAAATTGCATTTTCAAGTATTATAGTGTTTAAGGGGTACTTTTCGATATTTTCCCCATAAATTCAGCAAATTTATATTTAATGCCTAATACAAATTGGGCAAGAACCCGGTTTTCTATCGATTTCTGCAAACAACAGTTAAGTATCTGGAAAGATTTGACGATCGATTGGAACTCTTTCCTATGTTAAGTATGTTACAAGTCTTAGGAAAAGATTTTGTGGGGGAAAGAATCGGCAAGTACCGTTTAAGGCACTGTACTTAAATAAACTCACATAAATAGCCAAGAAGGAGGCAACGACAATCCCAGAGACATCGGCTGTTGTAGAGGCGCCGAGAGAGAACTCACGGACATCTGGCTCTACCTGAAAGTAGAGATACTATTTGAAACGAATCAGCTGAGCGATGGAGAGCTTCAAGTCTGGCTATAAAAGGCTTGTCTAAGGTTTACTAGTTCTAGCTCTACCAAGTTTGCTTAAGTGAAGCAATTGTCTTTCATATTTCTCACCGTTTGATGTATGTGATTGAGCGTCTTCACATAAGCCGATCCGCCATAGAGACCTTCAATGAAAATGATCACGAAAGCCACGATAATATGCGGCAAAAAGGCATAAACAGCCTCAAAGTAGAAGAAAACCGCGTTACCAATCTAAAAGTGTGGATGAGGAAGGTTTAACTGAATCAAATCACTTGCAGAATTGGTAATAAGTACAAGAAAAAGACGGGCAATTTCACGATGGCCATGCTTGATCTCGAGATGAAGACACCAAAACGATATAGGACCTAATCATCAAGTTTTGGACGTAAGACTTCACTAAATGTTACCTGATACCATCGATATTGGCTGTTCTTTGTGAGGCTGAAGCCATGTGAACAGTCAAAAACGATGAGTTGCGTCTGAAGAAAAACTTGAAAATCTGGCCAAATTTTGAACTTGAAACTTTGCTCAAACTTTGATCAAACTCTGTTCAAATCTTGCAAGACTAGTTGAATGTTATCAGGGTGTAAAGAAAATACGACTGTTTGTCTAGGTTTTAGCAGTTCATAATGCACCAATCCTTTCGAATTCCACCATAAACAGAGCATGATCAAGGCTTAGGGGTGATTAGCGGTGCTTCACCAGCAAAGAGGCATTCATTTTTTTGAGTCACATTGTCAGAACTGATCCAAGTCTCATCAGAAGTTAAGATTGTGTCAAAAAAATCGTGTGATTTGCACTTTTGAAGCAAGATGGAGCACACGGTAGCACGAGCTATTTTGTTGCTTTGGCTCATGTGGAATCCATTTTCAATGTGGAACCTTTTCCCCAAGTTGGTGCAAATGGTTTTCAATTGTCACATGGACTAACATCGAAAAATTCTGCCAATTCCCGAAGCGCAAATGTGGGATCAATTTCAATAGCATTGAGCTAATCGTCATTTGAGATTTCCAGGGCCATTTGAGTTTTGAGTCCAGAGCGTCCAGGGGGTCCAGGGCCTATGTAGCTCTTCGTGGAGGCTTTCATTGGCTGAAACCATAGACGACACTGACTTTCACTGATACATCATCTCTAAAAGCTTTGACAAATGCGATTCAGCAGGGGTTTTTCTTGTTTGAAAACGTAGAGCATGGCAACTCCAAGTGCGAGCTTCTTGGCATTCTTTTTTTGCAGTAAAAACCACTAGCGAAGTGGAAAGGGAAATGATTATAAATCTAGTGGATGCGTAGTTTATTTTTGTTGAAAAAATTACGTAAGCAAACACTTGGCATTTGCCAGCACCGGGAAATTTGAAGAGTGCATTATTTTCTTTACACCCTGATAGTAAGCCATACTTGACACAGTTTGATTTTGATTAGAATTCACTCACCAATCCTTGATTTATCGTATATTCAGCCAAATAGACGACCACCAACGGGATTGTGTATTTGAAAAGCGACTAAAAACTATCCAATCAAGAAAAATCACGAAAAATGAAACCTGTATGATCTTGAATTTCTCTGTGACAGTCGTTTTTCTTTGATAGATTTGCTGGGGCTTCTCTGTGAAATCCCCTTTTTCTTCTTTTCCATCGCTTGATCGAATCTTTTTCGGAGAGCACAAAGCCACACAATTGTCCGGGTGTTCCAAGATCAACCAAAAGGAAGTAGCGTATAGAAATGGGATGATCTGGATTAGAAATTTGATGTAATTAGATCTAGATGATCAATATATGTTACCATCATGCAAAGGAGAGCGTTTTTCGGTGACAAACCGGCAAAATGGGGTTCCGTCAGAGCTGCGTAGATGAAAGAACCTAGAAAATAGCTGTAAATGAGCTACGACTTCTGGTCAAATTTCAGCTAAAAGATATTTCTTACTTTTCTCAATAAACACCAGATTTAAAGTAGTCAAAAGCTCAGTCTCACCAATAACTCCGGCTCCTCCTGTTCCCGAGGCCCAGGCGACAACTGTTGAATGAGAGAAGTGCGAAGAATAAGATACAAGAGTTGATTCACCAAATCCACAACTTAGAGAAGCAAGAACGACTCCTAAATTTGACTTTAATTGACTTTTTGAGTTTAAACTCACCAAGAATTGAATAAGCGTAAGTTTCTGAATAGGCAACAATCAATAAAGAAGCTGCTTGACTGATTACGACCAGCAATTGACGAATTCTAAAGCAATTTTGTTTTATTTGTTTGTTTTGCCGCCATTTCCGCCATTGCTGCCATTAGAATTTAAGATTTATCGGCAATTTTATCCGGTTCACTTACCCAAAATTGATTCTGAATGCAAAGAATGGCGCTGTTGCCATGATGATGAACGCCGGAAGAACATCGGCCAACAATATAACACCCGTCGATTTTCGACCATTACAATGTTTCAATCGTCTTTCCGTCTAAAAAGTTAAATGAAACTTGAAAAATTGAATCAATTACCGGACAAGTTCCATTATACAAAGCTGTTTCATTGCTCAATCCATTCTCTTTTCCACGTGTGCTTCTTTCAATGATATCTTCAGCTGCACTCAACATCAAAATGTATGCATAATTGTTGCACAAGCCAAAGATCCTGAAGATTTTCATTTCAGAAATTTGATCTATTCAGAACTATCAGAACTTCTTTTATAACGGCTATAGCCGAACTTTTTTATAACTCTACATAACGATAACTTCTATGTAACGATGGCTTCTTTGAATCCCAGCAAAACATTTAATAAAATGCTAACAAACAAACTTTTATATAACGATATTTTTTCGGAAAATAGTTCTAAATTGTCTTTCTCTATTTTTCTTGGTTAAAGAAAAGACATGGGATTGTGTTTCGTACTCTACAAGGAAAAGCGGCTGATATAAACCTCAATAATGTTGAGAAATGGAAAGGCGATATGTCTGAACATGTTTTTGACATAGACGAGACGGTTCTCTTTTAGAAATTGACGCCAAACAAAACATTAGCGTTCATAGGGGAACAATGCCGGTTCTTTACGAAGCGAACTCAAAATTGTGGATGACTGGTGAATTGTTTGAGAATTACCCCAAGAAATGGAATGCAAACTTAGTGAAGTTTAATAGGAAGATCATTCTTTTCATTACTCACCAAAAAGCCACAATATTCCTCCATCTTTGAGGTTCCATTTCAAGTTTTTCCTGGAATTTGTCCTGGAACCGAAATTTCTTAAAAATCTGGCGAAATAACAAAAATATTATCCGAAAAAAGTAAATTTTTATAAATGGGACCGGTTTCAAATTATGCCGAGTCATCGAAAAAGGAAAAGAGAAAGGAAAGAGTTGGGGAAATCGATGTGATCGAGATGGAAATGGATGCATTTGATCTTTTTTTCGTCAATTTGCCGTCTCACACCATACTTTCCCACTCAATTTCATATATTTCTTGGGTAATTCCCCAAACGTAACACTTTTTGTCGGTGATTTTGTGATTGATGAGTTTCGTTTTTCAAATATGATGATAGTTTTATGATGTTTGAATTGAACTTTATAAAACAAAGGTAAAGTTTGAATTGTAAAATGAAAGGAATCAACTAGTTTAATGAAAAGAATATATATAGATACTTTATTCAGGACCTGAGATAAAGTGCGCTAGATTTAAGATTAAAACACAGGAATTCATACACATCACACGAAAAGGGCAGAATGAAAAGGATTAACTAGTTTTGGATAACTAAATAGCTATAAAATATGAGTAAATAAAGAGATGAAGAGCAAAATTGAGCCCAGATGCTTGCCAAATTGTCAATAATGCCCCAAATTGTCAATAATGCTGCACAGAATTTATTAAAAAGAATACTAAAGAATTTGTTAAAAGATTAAAAGAATTTATTAGCAAGATCAAAAAAGAATTTCAAAGCAGAAATTGTGTTCTCGAGAACAGTTAATATTGGGTTGGTGAATTGAAAACTGCGGGCTATTGTCATATGTGACAGTTTGAGCACTTTCTTCAAAAGAAACCCATTTTGGTGTCACTGGAAAGTTGTAGAGAATCAAAAATGAAGCTTATATTCAAATTTTCAGAACGATTCAAAAACTGGTTTTCAAGAAATGCCAAATTTACCAATTTTCACAAGACTTTTATTTTAAGCAAAACTACTAAGTGTATCTTTTTGGAAATTTGGCTATAAGCCGAGTTTTTGATTCTCTACAACTTTTCTATTGACACCAAAATGGGTTTCTTTTGAAGAAAGTGCTCAAACTGGGACATCTCCAGTCTCCATCTCCAGTCCTCCATTTTTGAGTCTCACACTTGTCTCACACACAAACCAAAATCCTACTACGAAAGAGGAATCCGCAAATTGCCTGTAAAATGGGCAGAAGTCGTCAATAATAATGGAAATTATTTGGAATGGATTTATGGTTTTATGTCAAATAAATTTTAGTTCAAAGTCCCGCAGTTTTCAATTCACCAACCCAATAAATAGCATAAAATATGAGTCAATAAAGGGATGAAAAGCAAAATTGAGCCCAGAATTGTCAATAATGCTGCACAGAATTTATTATAAAGAATATTGAAGAATTTGTTAAAAGATTAAAAGAATTTATTGGCAAGATTAAGAATTTCAAAACGGAAATTGTGTTTTCGAGAACAGTTAATATTTTTCTCAATCAGGAAACGAAATGCAATCAAAATTTGTTCCTCATGGGATTCTATTTGCTCATGTCATTTGCGAAAAGTTTGAAAAACATCGATTGTAGCAAAAATTTACAAATAGTGACTTTTTGAGAGATAAACGTTAGCAGACAAAAGATGAATCATTTTTTTACTCAAAATGCCACTTCCTCGCTAAATGCTAAAGCGCTAAAAAGAGCTAAAAGTGAGCGATCTCTCGGTCGATCATTTTCGTCACTCAACCATGCGAATCCACTTCTTTTTCAAGCAAAACTAGTGAAAAACTGACAACTAACACATCTGTTTTAAAAAAAAAGACCAAGTTGTGAAACTTTGGATAAAGTTGTTTGTGTAAACTGTGTCAGTTGTCTTTATTTCCGCTCTCTCGTTGATCCCCAATTTGTCCTTTTTTCAATCTCATGGAAAACTGGTTTCTCATTAAAAAGGTCTTTGTTGATTTTAATGATTTTAATATTTAATATTTTGCAAACTTTTATGAAATTAAAAAGTTTAGGCAGAAGTTTATGTAAATTAAACAAAAGTTTAGACAATTTTTTTAATGTTCATTGTGATAAGACAATCTTTTATTGTTCATTTTTGTCTCTTTGTCTTTGGTTTAGGGTTTTCTCTTTTTCTCTTTGCCTTACTATAGTAGACCTCTTTTTTTTTACCTCTTTTTGTCTTTTTTACCTTTTTGTCCAATCGCGGAACATGAACAAACAACGCTTTTGATCTGTCTTGACACAAAGATAAGTAGTACGAGAAACCACAAAGAAATCTTAATTTGAGATTGATTGAAATCACTTTCTACTCACTTCCCAGCATCATTGCTCGACTCAACTTGTAAACTTGGACACTTTTTCTGCATTTCTTCAGCGACACAAACGGCTATACGCTTACAATTTATTGTCGAAACTATTGGAGTTCCATACTTTTCAACATCTGGAGCTTTTCCACCAGACGGGATCTTGTCTGTAAAAGTTTTTTCAACTCTTCAATGTTTGCCAAATCAAACTAGCAATATCTCTTATGAAATAGCCATCACCAGTTGATTGTTGCTCGAGCTGGATTCCATTTCTATCAGAAGCGCCAACATGTATCACTAACTGGAAAAATATTTGTCATCAATTTCCAAAATCGATTCACATTCGGTTGATAATCTTTCCAATAAGCATGCACTTTTTTGTCGACTTCAGCATACTCTACGGCCATAATTTCGGTTATTAAGTTCACCTCATCACTCAAAGGTCCAACCTAAATCTTTTACACTACAGGGTGACCAAGAATTAACAACGTATTATGTTATGAGCCCCATTTCACTTTCTTTGTGAAAATAAATGCGTACAATTATTTGGAATTGCTAAAGAGGGAGGTTGTTCCGTGGGCTCAACGCCACTTCAAAAATCGAATTTGGACTTATCAACAAGATGGTGCGCCGGCTCACAAGGCAAAGAAAGTGCAAGAGTTTGAACAGTTTTGTTCAAATACCCTCCCGGACTTCATCTCGTTTCCTGAGTGGCCACCCAGCTCACCCGATCTTAACCGATTGGATTACCCAGTCTGGAGTGTTCTTGAAGCCAGGGCATGTGCAAAACCACATAAAAATATCGAAAGTTTGAAGAAGGCGCTCATCAAATCATGGGATACCCTCGATGATGCCTATTTGCTGTTCCCAAACGCTTTTTGCTTTTCCCAAACGTTTGCAGGCCTGTCTGAATGCCGATGGAGGCAAATTTGAATTTAATTGTTAATTTGTTACTGTTATATGTTGAATAAAGATATTTAAGTTAACTTTTCGAGATGGGTTGCACATTTGGTTAAAAGCCAGGCCTTTTGTGTATTGCGGTAATTCTTCGTCACCCTGTACAAAAGTTTCAAAAGCTTCATTTCAAATGTTTTGAATATCTGGAAGCTTTTAAAAGACTTAAAATTGCTTTTTAAAAGGTTTAAAAGGTTAAAGACTTAAAAAACACTTACTTTTCCCAGGTTCTTCACCACATCCATCGATGGATTTGGTCTCATGTTGCCAAATGGCCCAAAGCCTGTCACCACTACAGTTTTCATTGTCGGAATTTTAAGTGAGCTTCTCTGTGAGATTTTATAGTTCTTTGACTGATTTTATAGTTATATTTCTTTTATAGAAACTTTGACTCAAAGCCGATTCATAGTTGAAATGTGAAAAAAGCATATTTTGAAGTTCTCGACTTCTTTAAACTGAATCATTTCCCCTTTACACAAAGGGGAAATGTGTTTACAAAAACCTACGTAAAGTAGGTTTTTGTAAACGTACGTAAAGACGTAAAGATAACAAAAAAACTCAAAGGATTTCGAAAAAACTTTTTGTTATCGAGATTTTTTTGCTATTGAGGTTTTGCCTCTAAGAAACTCTCTAAAGACCGTAAAAAATGTGGAAAAATGTGCTCTTTGGCACTACCAACGTTTTCGTTTTACACAAATAAGACTAATTTTATTCAAAAAACAAAATGTAAAGCAACCTGATTATAAAATCGACAGCTAACTAACTAAAGAATTGAAAAAAAACGTAGTTTTTTTTCGTTTGTTTGATTGATTGCTTCTGGAAAGATTCCTCGATCTTGTGACACGCATTAATCGTTCTTGAATCATTAACAACATTGAGCAAAAAGCGTTGAAAAGTGGTGAAGACCTTATAAGCTTCTTTTCGTGTCACTTCCGGCACAAACTGATTATCTTCTTCATTGGTTGAAGCTGATTTCAAGGCGTATTCATTTTATCGAGCACCTCATCGTCCACAAAAGGAGTGCTTCTTCTATTTGATCCTAACGATTTCTCCCATTTCTCCCTCTGTCATCTATTTCTTTCAATATCCGTTCCTTGTTACATAAAATCGAAGTGATCGTGTCGTAGGAAAGATGGAATTCGTCAGCCATTTGAGAAACGGTGCTATCCTTTGATTTTCGAATCAGCTTTAACTTGGTTCCCAATTGAATCACTTTTCCCATCGTTCACCTGAAAAAAAACGAAAATTATCAATGCAATAAACGCCTATTCTATTTTGCATTGAATAGGCGTTTATTGCATTAATAATAACTAATAATAGCAACTTCTTTGCACAGCTTTTAGCTGATACCAATACAGAACACAAAACAAGTATTCAATCAAACAAGTTGCGCAAAGAGGCTACGCATAAACAGTGGAAATAGCAATCAAAATACTGAAACTTCCCGCATTACAATTCACAAAGAAGTGCAAATGTCTAAAATGGGTGAATAATAGCAGAAAACGGTTCCTTTTATATGTTCATTACTAAAAGGTACTCAGCTACAGACTTTGAGTAGCTGCGCTTTTGGGCGCATTTTAGAATTCAGCTACTTCGTGAAGTGTGGAAAGCCGTAATGTTTGTTATCGAAGCTAAAATTATACTAATTTTACTCTTCGGGATACGGAAAAGTCTGTTTGTTAACAAGGTTTTTTTTGGCTTGATGTTTTGGTTTTTGCTTAAGTATTTTGTTAAGAATTTTTAATGAGACCTCAAAATCTTTTTGCTATCGTGGCTTGTTTGCCATTGAGATTCTCGTTATTGAGGTTTGGTTGTACTTCAAGATTTCAGATTGCAACCGTTTCTGCATTCATTTTCTAAAAATTATCGCTTAGCCTCAAAAACAATGGCAGATTTTCTAGTTGATTGCTCCCAAAAAACGTTATTTGATTACAGTAAGATGGTAATCGGATATCTTAGAGAAAAGGATTTTCTGGATTGTGAAAAGATGGAAAGAGGTGCCAAGTTTGAGCCCGAAATCTCGAAAAGAGGAAGAAAATCGAGAAATTAGAGTATCCTAATGGAATGGAGCACTTCAAATGAGAGATCGACGGGCAAATGATACTCTCATCTGATTGGAATGGATTGAATTACAAGGGATGAGCTTTCCAAGGGAAACATCGGAATTCACAGTTTCAGAAGTTTTCCAAACGCTATTCATTGAGTGAATTGAGCTTTCGAGATGAACAACTGCCAAGAAGCACTTGATCCCCATCAACAACTGCAACCGCCTCAGTTTCAGGCATGTTTTCAGTTACTGATTTCGTTGTGATTCGTTTGGTGCTTACCAGGTGTTAGCAGTTAGATTTTCGAGCTGTTAGCATTAGACTTTTAAGTTAGTACCAGACTACTTTAAAGAAATCTATGAATGTACCATTTCCAGTTCTTCCTCGAGGCTTATCGCATGTCAATCCCCGAGATCCCAGCACATCAAAATATGTCCTTCGATTCTCACATGTATCAACCATCAATCAATCATTTGTATTCGGAAAAACAAAGTATCTAGTTCTAATAAAAGCCCAGCCTCCAATAGAAGCAATGACTATCGATATTAGTAAATCTTAGTAGACCGAACCGAGCAATAACTATGGATATTCAGCTTAGTAGACCGAATACCATGAGTTTTGAGCGCTGAAAAATGTATAAGGCTATATAGGCATTTCCTTGAGAGAAATAGCATTCTTTATCATTTGTTTTGCATAAGCAGTGACAATTTTGATGTTTTTCTTGCAATTAGGTAGCTTATTTGGATCGGAGGTAGCTTATTTGGATAGAACTTAGACAAGGTCTTTAAATTTCGCGAGCTGAAGATAATTTATGTCAACTTTAAACATTTTGACGTTTATTTTTTAGTATCCAATTCTTTAGCAAGAGAATATTTCCTGCTTATTGTTAGTTCTTTCTTAGATTCTTGAATGAAGTGCTTAAAAATGATTGCTAAAGTTCATTATTGCCTAATCAGTAGCTTTTCTTGCATTTTCTTGCTACGATAGTGAGATCTCGGTTGAAATCGGCCACTCTAATGGTAATGGAATTGAGATTAAAGGTTTTTGGACGATTGTATGAGTTTTAATTGGTTCTTATCTAAAGGTTTTCTTTCTACGAACTACTTCATCATTTTTTTAGTCATTGAAAAATAGTAGCGCAGGCTCTAATAGAAGCGCGGCCTTCAATAGAAGCAATTTTGTGAAATTATTGAAAAATAGAAGCGCATTTGAATAAATACGGTAAGTATCGTCAAAACTGTTTGCTTTTATGAAAATGTATGATATTTCAGTTTCAGTGCCAGACAATGATCGACCGATTCACTTGAGAACGCAACAGAATCGAAGGAAACCGAGAGTGCTCTTCACGAGTGAGCAAGTGGGTTTGATCAGTATTAAAAATAGATAAATATAAAACCATTTCTATAAAAACCGTTATTTTCAGGTGAATGAACTGGAAGAGCGTTTCAAAAGACAGCGATATGTGTCAGCTGGTGAAAGAGAGGAGCTGGCTAACACTTTGGGGCTCACTCCAACACAGGTAGACAGTTCTTGACGCGTTTGTAATCATAAGTACAACAATTTTTTTATCTTTCTATCTTGCAAATTTTACACAAAGCTACTAACAAGGAAAGGTCAACAGGATGTGCTGGTCAAATCACATGAACCATAGATCATTCGACGCAGAATTTCACGCTGATCACGATGCTACTTTTCTCTTTGGCTACGGAACACTCTGTCAAGAGTTATACGCGTTTAAAGTTTTGTAAGGAATTTCACAAATCAAATCGCGACCTTACAACCCTGTCTTCCGTGAGCTCAGCAGTTGCACCGGTTGCAGAGTTGTGGTGGATTAGGACGCAAGGCGAGGGCTGTCTAGTTCGAGTCCGATGACGGATTGTCTTTTCTTTTATTAGGGTTTAATGCTTATCTGATTGTCTGGCAAAATCCTGGTGATCCCCGGGCTCCTTATCCGTATTAGTGGTGTGCCAGATGCTACACAATTGTGTGAGGCGATAGAGAGCACACAAGGCAGTAAAGCCTAAAAAAGACAATCGGCTACCGGAGTCAAACCAGAGAGCCCTCGCCTCGCGTTTTAACCTACTACCATTCGGCCCGGTGCAACTGCTGAGCTCGCGAAAGACAGGGTTTTAAGGTGATTTTCAAAACTCTTTTCATACCTTTAAACGCGTATAACTCTTGACAGAGTGCTCCGTAACAAAAAAGAAAAGCAGGGTCGTGATCAGCGTGAAATTCTGCGTCGAATGATCTATGGTTCATGTGATTTGGTCAGCACATTCAGTTGAACCTTCTTTGTAAGCTATACCTCTTCTAGGTAAAGATCTGGTTCCAAAATCGGCGCTACAAATGCAAGAGAATCGATCAAGATAGAACACTCCAGTTGACACAACAATTATCCACATTTGCCCCACAAGTAAGTGTGAAAATAAAAAGAAGAATAATGTGAGTATTCAGATGCTCACCCCGGCTTTGTTCAATGGAGGACTCTTTCCACAATAACAAGTTTATCAATTACTCATGTCGATAAATTTATCCGTTTTGATTGAAGATTGGGAGGAGAGGAAAGGGCTCGTTTCGTTGAGTTCGCTGAAGAGCTTCTTGGCGTCTGAAAAGGCTATAAGTTAAGCAGTTAAGTTGAGCAACTAATCCTCATGTTTTTTATTTTTTCTCGATTTCCCTACCTCCATTTCGTTCTCCTATTCTGGAACCAGGTTTTCACTTGAGCGTCGGACATTTGCAAGTGATCGGCCAACTCTCGCCGTTCACCATTCCCAACATATTTTTGCTCGACAAAGCGTTGCTCAAGAATTGCAATCTGAAGGAATTCATTCATTACTTTATTTCATTACTTTTTGATTGATTGATCGATTACTTTTCTACCTGTATTCTCGTAAAAGACGTCCTCGGTTTCTTCAGTTTTCTCCGTCCTCTTTTACTCTTCGATGAGATCTTTTCTTCACCTGGCTCAGCTCCCCAATTTTCAATCTGAAACAATATTTACTTAGAACATTTAAATGTAATTCATTGATTACTAGACTTAAGCCAGTAACTACTAGCCCAGTAATCAATTTATTACCATTGATTTGCTACCTGTTGAGAGTTCCTTCTTGGTGTCACTTGTTGGGTGATCGAGTGGATTCCCTCAAAAAGATTTTCATTCAACAGGTGAAAAATGCCAAAAGGAAGATTCCCAACGGGTGGCTGCTAAAGAAAAGAACGAATTTTAGAGGATTTTCAATTGCCTAAAGTTTATTTGTAAGAATCAAATGATTTCAAATGATGATGTTATCACGAAACTCAAACCTGAAATACCTCGAAGCACTCTGGAAATGGTATCTTTGTGACAGTTTGCATAGTTCAAGGAATTGAATTTGAGCTTTAGCTAAAAACGTTGCTTTCGAAGTGCAACTTGAAAAGTTGATTGGATGATTGTGTCATTGGTCTCCACAATGTCCCCTCCTTTTCTTGAAGAATTTCGTGGGTGTCGTTTATGACCTCAATTTGCCCCAATTTGTTCTCCTTTTCTCATCAACGCCATCAACTCTTGGTTGGGGAGAATTGCGAATAAAAGTGTTGCCTCTAATTTTAAAGAGGGAAAAGTGTGTAAGAGCTGAAGTTGGAAAGTAATATGAAATTTTTAAAGTATTGGGTTGGTGGGTATGACTTGGCACGTTTTTTCAAATGAAAACCTAAAGATTCAAACAAACATGAGGAAGAAGAGTTTGTGGAAAATAGATAAGTAGATACATTCACTCTCGCAAAAACAATGGACTTTCACTTTCGACATATTTGATTTTTGGAATTTTACTTTACTTTGTCCTAACTATTGAGAATCTACCACCTAAGACTCGTTATGTTCTACGAATTCCTGATAGAACACAAGGGCCTCTAGTGTTAAACTAAGATTGAGAATACTTATGTGAAAAGATCAGCTCCATTATGGACATGTGCAAGCCGGTTTGCTAAATTTCGTTCTGGGGAAAAATCACTCGAAGACAACGGGAGAGGTCATCCAGCAGTCCAGCTGGATAATGTCAAGCTGCTCGGAATTTTTCAAACCGACAAAAGGCTTTCTTTTTTTGCAAAATAGCAGAAGAGTTATCAGTTGATCATACAATAATACTCGAACATTGCACACACTTGGGTTTAAACCGTATTAGAGACTTGGATTCCACATGACTTAACGGACACCCAGAAATGGCAATCAGTGCCAGTGGCAATGTTTCAATCAGTGCCACTTATCTTTCTTGATACGAGCGCAAATCCTTTTTTTATCCCGTATTGTTACGGGGGATGAGAATGGATTCTAACTGTCTACTTTCGGAGAAGGCGCTAATGAGTTGCTTTTTGCTAAAGCGAAAAGCCTGAACCCGACCGCAAGCCAAATGTGCATGAGAAAAAGTTTATGTTTTCGGTGTTCTGGGATTTGGAAGAACCTATCTACTGGGAGCTTTTGGATAGCAAGGCAATACTTAATTCGATCAAATATTCGAGCAACTTGACAAGCTCAAATCTTTGGCAGAGAAAAAGAACCTCAAAGACAAAATTCATCCTTCAACATGATAATGCTAGACTGCATGCTTAGAAGATGACTCGTTCTCCACTAAATTCACTTGGATGAGAGATGATGGCCCATCCGGCATACAGCCATGATCTAGCACCTTCTGTTTACTACTTATTCCGGGCGATGAGCAATGATTTGGCGAACAAACACTTTGATTCCGAAGAGGAGGTCAAAAAATGGCTGACAGATTAGTTTGCGTCAAAACCGGGAGATTTTTGCGAGAGAGGCATTCGACTTCTACCAGTAAAATGGACACAAAACATACAAAATAATGGCAAATATCTCGAATGATTAGAAGCAATTAACTAAATAAAAATTTCATTTCAAAAAACGTGCCAATTCATACCAAAAAAACCCAATAATAATAAAATAATAAAAGTAATAAGTAAATTAAGTAAAGTAAAGTAATAACAAACTTGTAACATGTAAAATCAGTGCAAATTTTCTAAAAGTACCGTATTTACTTCTAGATTACACAATTTTCATTTGTTTTCTTTTGTTTTCATAACATTTCACATATTCATAACCATATAAACATCAGCCTTTTTTCTTTCGATTCCCCAATGCAATCTCCGTCAACTCTTCCGCTCGAAAACACTCTTTGTCTTTCCCCCAAAAAGACAATGAAGCTTCCAGCCAAAAGCGAATCTTTCCAAAAATAAACACACACACTTGCACACCAGTTTGTAATCGGCATAAAATTTTGCAAAAACAAAATTCGCTTATTTTTTTTTTCTAGTTGTCGTTTACGGACAAAGAGAAATGCTTTGGGAGAAAATCAAATTCAAACGGATTTCTTCCCACTTCACGACATCAAGAGTGAAAAAGAAAAGAGAAAGAAGGAAGGGGAAAAGAGAAAGAAGGAAGGGGAAAAGAGAAAGAAGAAAAGACAAGACTTCATCACATTCACAAAAGAAACAGAAATTTACTGCTTTGAACTTTTATTTTTCTAGAAAACAGTGCTCTTTGTTATCGAAAAGTAGCTATCGTATTCTATCTAATAGAGGTGCACTCTTTAATAGTACTGCACTCTCTAATACTATTGCGGTCCAGGAGCGGGTTGAAAAAATAGTAGTGCACCCCCGAAAATTTGAATTTCTGTTTGCTTCTTTTTCATCTAAACCTTTTTGACTTTATGTTTATGTGACATTCTAAAGCTATTCAAGCAAGCAAAAGTGAGGCTTTTTTTTATTCATTTATTCTATTCTTCATGAAAAGTTTGCAAAATCTAAAATTGCTGTGCAAAGTGCAAAAACATCTTTTTGTTGTTTGTCAAGACACAAATTGTCAACTCGCCGGCTCACAATTGTATGTCAAAAGGAGCCAAAGGAGTACGTGAAAGAATTGCAAGAATTTTTGGAATAAAGTTTATATCTGTCTTACTTTGGTAAATGATAAAACTCTTTAATAGTACTGCACTCTCTAATAGTATTGCGGTCCAGGAGAGGGTTCAAAAAATAGTGTGCGCACTACTATTAGAGCGATTACGGTATTTTGTGTTTTGTTCTAGCGGAATGTCTGATCAAAGGCTTCTAAAGAATATCTAATGTTTTAAGCCATTTTCTATAAACAAGACAAGCTGGCCTGTTTGCTATAAAAAAGACAAGCTATTCATCTTTCTGTGAATCAAGAATTGATGCCAAGTCTAAGGAATGTGCTACTCGTAGTCACCACTGCAGCGCTTTTTGATTGTTAAAGATCTCAAATCTTTGAAGAACTTTGATCTCAGCTGCTTAGAATACAGATCATCATCGACTTTTATGCTCCTATCTTTGCAAAACATTCCCCAACTAAAATTCGAACTAATTTGCAAAAGTTCCCCTTTACCACGAAATAAAATCACGAGTTAGCAGTCTGTCAAATGGCGCAGCACCCCGATTTTATGGGGCACTAATTTAGAATTAGGGCTAACAAAAAGGAAAACACATTTCCGCGACTTTTCACCAAATTTCTCGATTTTCGCAAAGAATACACAGATTTGTCGAGATCCTGAATAATTTATGGTTGAGTAATGATTTTGGGTGAGTGCCCGGCTTGTTCTATAAAGGCATTTTCGAGCACATCCGGTCCATTTTCTAAAAAAGCCAAGAAACTGGCCATTAGGATTGGAAAGAATTGAGCAGATTGAGGCTTTCACAATCACTTTTAGGGCTTTTCATTGAAAAAGAATCAATCATAAATTGAGTAGTTTTTGTCTAGATGAATCAAGATTTGACCAAGTTCTTGCCCTCAATCCTTTCAATTATTCTTTAATTCCTAATGCCCAATTCCTGATCTATTGTAGAAACAGCAGATTTTAACTCTCGCAGATTTCTTTTTCAATTAAACATTTGAGTCTCTTTCAATAGAAAATTCTAATCTTTTTCGATAAATCTCTGTGTTAAAATGGCTTTGATTCAAAGTTGTCCCTCGAATCCAAGAACATTCAAGATCCAAGTGTGGCAGAGGATCAGCCTTTGCCCTCATCTTTTCCCCATCTTTCGCCATCTCTTCAAAAAGCAACACACAAATGTTTGCATAATTTTCAAGCTGCCGTTTTTGGGAGCTTTTTTCATGGCCCTTTAACGGTTCCCTTCATCTTTGCTTTCTCCTAACCTAGACATTTTTCTGAGCTCCTCTCTTTTCCTCTCAAAAAATCCCACCCACTAATTCTGTTCACATATTCAATAAGTACCTGATTACTTAATTTTGTTGATTTTTGAAAGAATTTCCTTAGGATAAACTCTAGCTTTGTTTCTTGAGGTTTTGGCAAGTTTTTCAAGGCAAGGTTTTGTCTTCAAGCTTTCGTTTTCACCAGAACTTTACGAGTTTTAGCATCTTGAATGCAGCAGATTTTTATATACATTTATTCACATGAATAATTTGGTACAAACAAGACACAAGCAACCCTAAGCCTTAAATGTAGGAAAGAAAAAAAGCATATATAGGAGAAAAAAGAAGTAATAATCTAGCCGGGATTGAGGGGGGCACTATATTTTTTCTAAAGTCACTTTTTCTGGAGTAGTTTTTTGAGTCGATCACGAATTTCATAGTGGAGGCTTCGGAAAATGCGTTTTAGCCCGACTTTTAGAGACTTAAAGTCGCCGTCTCCACAGTGTATTTCAATGCAATGTTCCTATAAGAAGGGCTCAAAAGGAACTTACTGAGCCTTTTTCTGTTCAAAAAAAACTTTTTCTGAGAAAATTTAGCGTTCTGCGTGCCATTTTAATCAAGTTCGAGTCGAAAATTGAAAATAAAAGCTTCTAAAATTTTGCGAAATTTTCACCCATGAGGTCCCCCACATGGGTGAAAAACAAAGAATTTCAAAATTTTAATTTTTTGGCTTCTTAAGATTTAATTTTACTGTTTTCATGCTCTGGACACTCAATTAACCAAAAGAAAGTGTTTTTGCATGTTAAAAAAAGTCCTCCAAAGCGTTAGATAGGCTCTGCTTCTACAAGCCCGCAGTGAAGTACACTGTAGAGGCGGCGACTTCGGGTCTTCGAAAGTCGGTCTAAAACGCATTTTATAGTTAAAAAATATAGTGGCCCCCAACCCAACTTCAAGGCTCGAATTTGTTCTCATACCATTTAGCATTGTTGGATAAAAAAGTCCTCCAAAGCATTAGATAGGCTCTGCTTACAAGCCCGCAGTGAAGTACACTATAGAGTCGGCGACTTCCGGTCTTCGAAAGTCGGTCTAAAACGCATTTTCCCAAGTCCCCACTATGAAACTCGTGATCTACTCAAAAAACTATTCCAGAAAAAGTGATTTTGGAAAAATTGTAGTGGCCCCCAGCCTTACAAGTACC